CAACTACGAATATTCTAACGAAATAGCACTCTATTCGTATACATAAATAACCCAAAAACATTAATCACTAGAAACTGACAGTATTTAGAAATTAACTTGTATGCTTAGCGTTAATACTTCATGTACATAAGCAGCAGATTGCGACTGAACTCTATTATCCTCCGATGCGCCAGCCACAAAGCCTTCAATAGCCAGCGATGAGGTAGGCGAACTACCATCAACATTGTCGTATTTATCTTCGTTGTAATTCTCATCAAGTTTATCAGCTGTTTGCGGAACTGTAAGCACATGTCCGTCGTTTTCAGCCTCAGAATCTAATGTTTTTTCCGGATCCGATTCATATTCAATTGTATTTTCATTTTCAGCTACCAACTCGGTCGCCTGCTCGTTGTTGGGCTAGAGAAAAATGTTCGGCGGTAACAAATATTTATGTAGATTTTTTCATTTATTTCGTTTAAAATGTTGTACTGCTTTTTTAAAAACTAAATTTACAAAAAAAAAAAACAAAAGGGCACTGATATTTCTCTACAGCTTAAGTTGCAATGGAATCGTCATCTACGGTGTCACACAAATAAAATGTATTATATCTATGTATACATATTTACATACAATGCTCTTCTTAAAAAAAAAGAAAATATCTTTTTAGTTTTTGAGCAGCGAATAATCGATGAATTTTGCTTTTTTATTGTGTCGGCAAGAACTTAATGTCTGCGGTAGTTTACATCTCCTTTTTAATGTTAAACTAGTAGGGCCACTATAACCAGAGCCAAGCAAACTGAAAGCAAACTCGTCTAGTCTAGAGAGAAGTTTCTTCCTTGGGTTTGGGATCCCAAGTTTAAAAGGCCAGTCCGCTCTTATTAAGATTGAGAGTCCACCGCCACCAGTAACCTAACTAGCTTTAGGTAAACTTGAGTCAGGATATATAAGATATACATAGGCGAGCTGTCCGCATAGGCAATCACCTCTCATGTAGGTCGTTTAGGATCACTATCCACGGCATAAGTGGGAGGAACTCAACTAGCGGGGTGCGTATTTTCAGTCTAGGATGCATGCGAGTGTATGTTTTTCCTGCCAAGAAGCTCCTTTGGAAAAAAGTACGTCGTTAGCTTTCCTACAAGGAAGCAATGGACAGATCCCGACACTTTCTTGGGAAGGTCGGTGAAAACATTCTATAACGACGACTCAAAGACAGAAACGGGTACTGGAGCTGGATGGCATCTGGACGGTAAATTTAGGCGATTTAGTGTTTTGAGCGCAGTGTCTACGGTTTTTCAATCGTAAGTAATTTGGAATACTGAAAGCAGCAGACTGGATAATTGGCAATAGGTGGCGCAGACATAAAATCAGGATCTGCAGTGATAGCCAAGTGCTCTAAAGACTGAGGAAATCGATCGCACCTTTTCAAAAATAATCCAGGAATGTAAATAGCGTTTGAAATACGGTTCTCTGGAGCGTCTAATTGAACCGGAGCTAATTTTAAGGTCAAGCATAGCGGGAATATTCGGGTACATCCAGCAAATCAATAATAAAACTCGTGAGATCCAGTGGCGTAGCCAGGGGGGATATGGGGGGATAGATCCCCCCCCCCCTTCGTCATTGAACTACAATTATTTACTTTTGAATTAATAACACAATACTATTTTATCCTTCTGATTTAAAAATTTTTTATTTCAGACGGATGACAAATTATCTTTCAATTAATATATAAAATTATCGGTTGATGGATGGATTGCGAAACACACTGCGCTTTTCAGGTGATAAAACTGGATTCGAGCTATGTGTACACACTGGTTCTGGTAGCAATAAAATATCAGACCGAAATAATACCGTAATTTTCCCGGATTGAGATTGATGCGCTAAAACTCTACTCCCTTCTCTCTCCCGTACAAGCTCATTAATTTAACCAGAGCACTCAGTGGTGAAAAAATAAATAGCGACGTGACATTTTGACACGTTTTTTTATAAAGGTATTGCCCATTACCTAATAAAAACAAGCATGTTCAAATTTCAAACTTTGTACAAAAACTATGAAAATTCAACAAAAGTTCACACTTTTTATGGCCTCTAAATTTTAATATAATAAACTGCCAGTGTGAATTTGGGAAAAAATAGTACTAAGTACGAGCATTTATTGATGAATTTATGGTGTCAGTTTTGGTTACCCGAAATACGCAAAATTTATAAAATTTAAATATTTTCTCTATGTTTTAGCGGTAAATTTTATACCGGTCGCGATTAAAAACATTTTTTTACATAGTAAACGCAGTCTTGTAGCATTTTTTGTAAATACAAAACTAAAAATCATATGATCGAAAACGGTGCCTTTTTTCGCGTAGCGACTGGAATCTCAACATTTTGTTTAGCTTCCCATGGTGTGTTAGTGCTGCCAAATTAGACCACAAAATCATTGGATGCTCTGATTGGCTGCATGCTGAGTCTCGTATCATGTATTGAGTATATAACAAACAATCATATATTACTCATAGATTCGAATAGTGAAAATTAAAATCACTTAAAAATTCAAATATGGCCCATTATATAAGCCTTTATAAGTAATAAGATTTTGTAGACTTGTACATAACTAAATGTAAATAGATACGCGTAAATATATAAATATGCAGATATATTCAATGTGTAAAAACTGAAGTGTATACTAACGAAACTTCTACAAAACAAAACTGGACTACACACTAATTAATTAAAATGGTGTAGTAATTTAATTTTTTAAATTTAAATAAAGTATGAATTCCCCATGGAACAAGCAAGTAGACAAAAAATATATAACCGTAAAAATGGCACATACATACATATATGAAAGAATGCCCACAGTCGACGCATCTAGCCATTGTGTATCAAAACTTTAAGTTATCGATGGAAATTTTTTTAATCTCCCCCCCCCCCCCCCCTTCGTCAAATCCTGGCTACGCCACTGGTGAGAGTCGTTGGTGTAATATTTACGGCTGCAAAAAAACGAAGTGTTTCTTGAAAAGGCCTAACAGGGTAGTAGCAAAATACTTCCTCGCACAGAGAAGGAGCGACCTATGAGCACTGATAGGACCGACTGCGGGGCAGATGACATACGGTTATCATAGGCGCTATCGATTATCCTCTGTATTCATCTTGTTTGGAAGATGAGTATAGTGCTGCAGCCGCTGGCCAGCCTTCGCCGACTTAGATGGTACATTTTTTGGGTCGGATGCGTTGACAAAGGACTAGCTACATTTTTTCGCTCGACAAAGTGCTAAGATTCATAAATTAGTCTGGTAAGTTTTCAGAGGAGCGATGAATTTCCACTCCCACCAACATATCCCTATTCACTTAATCCCCTCTCTGGGCCTTAAGTACCTGTCTGAGTGCTTCGATTTTTCTTTTTGTTTTGCCTGCCACCCACAACGCCATTTCA